GCGCATATTTTTTCTCTCACTATTTAATATAGATCATGCGACCCATAAAAAAAACTTTTCTATAACCACATCAAGCAATTTCTAGTAATCCACCTCTTCTTGTTATTTTCAAGATCTGCGACAATTCGTCCAAGTAGCAAAAAGCACTCAGCTACCCCGCTCTGGCTTTGTGAGGGTTAACTTCACTGGAGGAGCCTGAGAAGAAAAAAAGAAAACAGCCTGAGCAGCATCCCATCCACAGCCACAGTCACTCCACTCTGAGGAAGCTGCAGAAAGGCGGCAAACAGAGAGCTTTCCTAGCTTCATCCCGGAGTCTACTTGTTGATTCACTCCAGAAGTGGTTCGCAGGACACACAGGACTTTTTGCTGTCATTTTTTTCATATATGTTTTGACATTATATTTTCCATCATGGAGCGCGGCTGATGATGCATCTCTGGGCTCCAAGCAAAGCGAATGAGGCAGCGGCGGGCTTAACAAGTTGTATCGCAGTTACACATGAAATGATGCTGATTTTTCCTCATCAGGCGAATCGTCACACCAGGGAGACGCGTAAGTGTAGTTATTCATCTGACTTTTTGAAAATATGTCATTAACTTATATTTGTTTAATGTAAAATCAATATTTCGGAGTTGGCTGAGCGTTGGGTTTATATAAATTGCGCTCATTAAAGTTTATTGTTTTGTTTATTGTTTTTAAAGAATCTTAAAAAGCTTACATTAGGAAGGTGGGGGGATGAATAGTGATATTTACATAAAGGGGCCATCTGGGTCTGCTTAGGGGATAACACGGTGTGTTAAGGGTTCTTAATCAAAGTTGATAATCGGTGTCAGTATTAGTATGGCTTAATACAAGAACGGCTCAGCTCTGGATTCACATAACAGCCTCATGATATGACAAGTTTGAAACCGAACCAGCTGCCTTTCCACCCATACTGACAGATTTCAGCACCTCGGAGAGCACCTAAGCAGCGGGAGTGGCAGATTGGTGGTGGGGGGCGTTTCAGCACTGGACAGCGTTCCCATTCGGAGTCCAAGTTTATCATTGGCCCCGCTGTCCCTCTCCCGTGTCAGCAGGAAAATCGGCTGTGCCTCTTAAAGCTGATTAAAATATCTATTTGGTTCTCTGATGAGTGGATAAACCACCTGACATTGCTGCTGTAGGACACCGGCTGTGCCCGCTCAGCAGTCGCTGAATAATTGAATATATCTCCTTTTTTTTCCAAAGCACAAGAAACGAAGGGGGTCCTGATGCGGTCATCTCCAGGATCATGTCTTCTTAATCATCCAGACTGCGTCTCCCGGGTTCTCAGAGTTTCCAACTGACCTGAGCGAAGATGATTAAAACCGGCCCCCGGTCGACCACCACGCTGCCTCCAGACACCATAGACATCATCCGGACCAAAACACACTCCCGCCGGGTGAGACTCAATGTTGGGGGACTTCTCCACGAGGTCCTCTGGAGGACCCTAGAGAGGCTGCCCCGTACAAGACTGGGCAAGCTGCGGGACTGCAACACGCACGAGTCCATCATGGAGATATGCGACGACTATAGCCTAGATAACAACGAGTATTTCTTCGACCGGCACCCTGGTGCCTTCACCTCCATCCTGAACTTCTACCGTACCGGGAAGCTGCACATGATGGAGGAGATGTGCGCCCTCTCCTTCAGCCAGGAGCTGGACTTCTGGGGCATTGATGAGATCTACCTGGAGTCCTGCTGTCAGGCGCGGTATCACCAGAAGAAAGAGCAGATGAACGAGGAATTGAAGAGGGAGGCTGAGAATATGAGGGAGAGAGAGGGAGAAGAGTTCACTACCACATGCTGCTCAGAGAAGAGGAAGAAGTTGTGGGACCTGTTGGAGAAGCCAAGCTCATCGTTTGCTGCTAAGGTAAAAAACAACCTCTGGAGCACTGGGATCAGGCATTCCTTACTCCATGTGCTTTGCAAAAAGTGTTCCCAAATCATTCAAATTTAAAACAGTTTTTTTTATTGAAATGTTGAAAATAGTCAAGACTTATAATTTTGTATATTTCTTAGCAGCAAAAACTAATATTTCTTTTAACTCTGATACATCTTCATAAAATCAAGTCCAACCAATAGCCTTCAGATATCAGCTGTCTAGTAAAAAGATTTCATCAGTGTTTAACTCTAACTGATAAAGATGCAGGTTTTTAATAATTTTTTTTTAATGTTTGTTATTCGGGATCAAGCCAGAAGCATCAATGTAAGCTTTTGACACAGTGTTATCAAATGCATAATTTGAATACATAGTGTTGGCATAATTGTAACTCTACAATGACATGGGCATCCACCTTAACTGGCCAGCACGAAGAACACCAGCCTGACAAGCAGCTAGAGGGCCCTTTTGTAACACCTGAGTAGCTGCAGGGATGTAAAATCTAGGTAGGAGACTGTATCATCAGAGAACGTTGTTAGTCATAACAAATCTGCCAAACACAGGGCAGGACAGAAAAAAGCTGTTGCTCAAAGAATATAATAAGAAAACTTTTCTAAAAGAAATTTCCAGACATGTTGAAGAAGGTGCACTGGCCTTGTATGGACAATAAGCTGTAAGCGTCATAGCCCACATTCAAAATGATATCTTTGGTAGAAAAGAAACATCATGTCATCTTGAACATACTATTCCTATTGTATAACATACTAGAGGCAGTAGCATGCAATGGGAATGAATTTACTCAGCAGGGTCAGGAAACTGGTTAAAACTGATGGAAAGACAGATTAAGTTAAAGACAAGGAGAAGATCTGCTGGAGGCTGCAGAAGAATTCATTCTTGTGATGGCTGAGTTAAATGCATTCTATGCTTTTCAGGTTTTATTCATACAAAAAACTTTTGTTGGTCAGTCCCTTTAAATCCATATAAAAACAAACATGAAAACATTTATAAAGGTTTAATGGACATGAATGTACCTTTGCAAGACACTGTAAGATTGACATCTATCACTATCAGCAGCTTTAGTTAATGAAAAACCATCAGGTGAATATTAAAACAGTCTGCAAAGTAAAGTTATATAAAGCTCACTCACAGGTTGGTGTAAAACCCAACACTCCAGAGACTTTTTTTTTCCTTTCTGTATAATCAATGACATGAAATGAAGTGCTTGCATTTTTTCAAAGGCTCATTTGTTCTTTTTTTCTTTTTAGGGTATTATTAAAATCTTTTGTTCCGAGTAGCTTTTGTTATTTGGAAAACATGACACCGTGCATTGTGTTCCTTTATTGGTTTCAGTCCGATAATACGAGCTAGGCTGGTGTTAGCACACGGATAACTGGAGATAATTAATGAATCTTTGTTTTTCAGCAACAGCAAGCCGGACAGGAAGGAGCCTTGTCACTTACTGTTAGAGAACCTTCCTGTGCAAAATATGTATTTTTAGCCCTTCACATCACACCCACCCACCCACTTGCTCACACTCAACCCTCTTGGCTTCATTTGCCACCTCTGTCTCATTTCCAGCTCAGTATTCAATCATCCAACTCATTAAGAGGCTCATAGCTCACAGTCCAGGAAGAAAAGAACTCCACTTTGCTGAATCAATGAGCGCTGCCATGTAAACAACACCTTTAAATGAAGAAAACAGTTAAGATATAACTTTGTCATTATTCAGTACACATAGAGTTCCACCTGTTCATTAACAGCAATCTTGGTTGTGGATTTATGCAGTTTAAGCAATATAACCTTAATTATTCTACTTACAGAAATACTGTACATGTATCACCCGCTCAAAAATTATAATTGGAATGATTTATCGTGTATGTACAGTAAACAAAATGCATATTTGAGGGCCATTACTGATTGTCAGATTAATGTAAGAGAACAGAGTAGTTAAAGGTGATCTGGATTAAATGCTGAATAAAAAGAAAGAAAAAGAAAAACACAATACAGAAAATGGCTTAAATTATGTGCAGATCTTTCAGATCTTCTTTTCTATATATTCCCCAGAGGATTGGGTCAGTCTCAAAGATGCATTAGAGAGACCTCCTGTAGGTAAAAAGCAAGCTGAGCACTTTGAGCGGTGATGGTCAAATCATTTCTCAAAAGAAATTTCAAACACCTCTTTGAACAAGAGTTCCTACATAATTAATGTTACTCGTCTATTTAAGGAACCCGATCCATCTCTGACCTTGTGTTGCAGAGACTGGTAATTATTTTGTCTTAAATATTCAGCTACGCTGCTTGAACACATGCACCATTAGAGTAAACACTGCTGGGGTCTGATCTTCGGCCGCAGAGGAATAAGACCATCAGGTTAATGAGCAAGAAGGAGCTTGAACTGTAAAATATGACCACTTTACCATGCATAATATTTGATAGGTCAGATTTAAATAATCTTTCTGCTCATTTTCAGTTATTTGAAAATATTCTTATAATGTAAAAACACAAACATGTAAAGATTCATTTGTTACAGAGTCCTGGAATAATCAGTAACTCCACTTAATTAGACTTTATTTGAATCAGCTAAGCCATTAGACGTAGTGTGCTACAGTTTTTCTTCTTTTTTAATATAACTGCATTAATTGGCCTAAATCCCCAAGAAAATGTAAAAGAAGGAGATTAAGGTTATTAGGGTGTACCCATTAAAACTTTTAAAACCTTTGACATTTTTCCCTCCATATTTTCATCTTCAGTTGTTTGTTCTTTTAATGAGAGACCATAAAAAGTGTCTGCGGACCAATAAAACAGTTTTGATTAAACAATGAGGGCTTAATGAAAATAATGTTTAATACCTGCTAAGTGTTTTTGTTAAAATATACTTTATGTCTAAATAACATCTTAATCTATCTTCCATCTTTTCTAGATTTTTCTTTAATTAATGCATCTAAATAACTACCGGTATAGTTGTTTCAGAAGCCTTTATTATAACTATGAAAAGTTAGCATGTTCTATTTTTTATGACATTATAATAGACAACAGATTGTTTTACACATACTGTTCAAAATCTGAATCAGTACTACTTTACTATGAAATGCTAAAGTATTTTTACCCGTACTGATCATACTTTTAGAATCTGATATCAGTCAGTGGTTACAAAACGCAATCGATCGCAGAGCTGTCTTACTTATGATTTTTTTGCTATTTTAATGTTATGTAAAAAAATATATATAAAAAAAAAACGTCCTTAGATAATTTATTTTCTACTTTGTAAACACCGTAATCTGATTCATTTCATTATCATATTTATAGATAACATTACCAAGGCTGATATATGCAATGCTAGGATGCAATTCAACAAATTTAACATATAAATAAAATCATAAATAACATTTTTTGAACATTTTAGTCTGAGACAGTTTGCTCCTGAAACTTAAAAAAAGGAAATCTATTAAATTGTTGTCCAAAAAAACAGGTAGGGTCTCATCTATATTTCAGTCATGTTTCATTTTTGATTGGGCAAAAGTAATGCTGGATTTCAACCTGAAGGACAGAGGCTGACTAAAACATGTATGACACCTGATGCTTTTATTGTAAGTAAGGTCTCTAAGAAGCCATAACCTCTCCTCCTGAGACTGCAGAACTCAATCCCAAACACGTCATTTTTTCCTAACAACAGAGCAATGAAGGGCAGAGTCTGTGACTGTCACACCACCTTAGTTCTGTCTTTTGTATATAAAAATAAAACATCAAAGGAAGCGTATTTATCACAACAGAAAGTGTGGATGTAATAAAACCGTTGTTTTAAAACGGTCTGAAATTGAAGAATTGAAGAAGAAAAATTATATTTTAGCACCGTACTGTAGATTCAAACCATATGTACATGATGTACATATATGTTCTATATAAATATCATCATTTAGATTTTCATCACTGCATCTGTGTGAGTGGAAAAAAAAGGATCTGCTGACATGTGCAGGCTTTGCTTCTTGTGCTCTGGTTGAGGCAGTGTGAGCTAATTGCACAGAAACTCCTCATCCCAGCATGACACAGGCTGCCATGACCAGAGGGCACTTAACTGCACTTCTTACTACACATCAAATATTTCCAATTGAGTTCACTGTAAGCATTTGCTTTGTTGTTTGGAAGTCTGGGATGTCTGTGTGCATCCAGGCTGTGGCTTAGAGCTGAGCAGGGATGCCGTAGTCCACAGATTTCTTCTAATGCTGCTAAACTGATTGTTCTCCCAATCTGGCAAGGTGAATGTTTTGCTTTTGAAAACTAAGAAAATCTGCATTAAACAGGTTTGATGTGGAGTTCTCCATCACTAAAGAGGGTCTAGGAAATATGATGGCAAAGTTTTAGTGTTAGTGCAGCAGTGGCTGAGATGGAAAGCAGGGAGTTCAGAGGTAAATCAGCTGTTTAGTCTCTACTTAGCACTAACACTGATCATTTCCTTGGTTTCTCTTTAGCTTCCTCTTGCTCCCTCCGTGCACTCTTGCTCAGAATTACATAGGCCATATTATACGAGTTTGTTTTGTTGCCGGGTAACGGCATCTCCTTTGCCGCGCTTAGGTGAGCTTTGAATAGCCATAAATTTATGGTGCACAGTTTCCCAGCTGCCAGACTGATTACGGAGCTATATATCGCCCTGTGGGCCAGTGCCAAGTCAGGAGGAGAGTCTGTTTTATTGACAGAGAGATTAAGGAGTCTCTATCTTTGTTTTTTCCTCTTCATCATCCCTACATGTTTCATGTCTTTTCTGCTGGATCATCTCCTCTCATTATTCCAAGAAACACAACACAACTAGCACACACTCATCAATAATGTGAAGCTTTATTGATCTTAATTTGCAAATATAGATGCAAGTATATATATATATCCTATGGCAAATATATATATTATCCTATGGCTAGTATATTCAGGAAATGTAAGTTTTTTTGTCCAGCTTTCTTAGCTCTCAAACTAAAACCTCTAAAATTGAAGCCATTCCTCAG